CGACCCGCTCGCTGACCTCATCGACGTGATCGGCCGCGACCGCCCCGATGTCTGCGTCCTGGTGAGGAGCCTCGGTTTTATTAATTAATCCGATTCTTGGTGTTAATTAAATCGATTCTTTATATTAATTAAACCGATTCTATATTATAAAAGAAGAGGCTGTGGCGTGGAAACACACTCGAGGTTTCAAAATTTTGAAAATCAGCATCAAAAAATGCCGCTGAGGGGAGAGGCGGCTCGGGCGTAATCCCAAACTACCGTTTTTTTCACCCTAAAATGACAGAAAAACCCTGTTTTTAGAGCAAATTGAATTCTTCGAGTGCCCCAGGAGTCAAAGTCTGACTTAACGTTTGGAAAAGACGTGTCGTTTTTATCAATCTCCCCCTTTTTGGGCTCAATTTGCCCCGCATGCTTTGGGGTCACAGGATAAAATTTGAGTTTAAATAAAAATAATAAAAAATCCCTCTTTTTTTTTGATGGTTTAACGTGTGTAATTCGGTTCCTGGGGTTGGTGCCATCCTCGTTCGTGGTTTTCTCTGATTTTTTTTTCACTGTTTCTTTGTAGTTTGGGCCGTTCGTGGATGCCAAGCACGAACAAGTGGAGGTGAGGAAGAATTTGGGTGCCGTGGTGTCCCCCCAAATCCCCATGAAATCCTAAATTTCTGTGGATTTTGGGTCAATCGAGCCATTCCAGAATGAGAGAGGACAAAAAAAAACCAATCCCAGGAAGGGGGAAGGCAGCAGGGGTGTCCTGTGCACCCCAAAAAAAGAGGGAATTGTGCAAATCCCGTTGTTTTCCCTTAATTTATAGAATTGTCAGCTCCTGGGGTCCTTCGCCGAGGTCTTCAAGCTCTGCCTGAAGACAATAATCGAAGGGACGAGAAGGTGGGGACAGTGCACGAAATTAGTACCATTTCCACAGGTTTTTGCCCCAAAAACTCCTCTTTTAGCACTAGACGGGATCTGGACGGGAGGTTTCCTGTGAGGAAAACGGGTGGCGGACAGGAGAAATCGTTCAACTTTGGTTGAAAAAACCCCGTAACGGGCTCTGAAGTGGATTTGAGTCGTGTGTTCCCCCTTCGCACGGGGCAAAACACCTCTCCTGCAAAAAACGAGCAGCTTTTTGGGGGAATTTCAGCTGATTTTAGGTCTTCTTGCTGCCAGAATACCCCAAAATTGGTGATTTTTGAGGGATTCCGGCTGTAATTTCTACAGAAAGAGCTGGATTTGGGTGTCAAAATGTTCGTTGGCTCTACCTGTTAATTAATCGTCGGGTTTTTTGGGGTGTTTTCCCCTCTTTTTTCTGGTAGCGCCGGCTCGCAGCTCGTCTTCGTCCCCTCGTCGCGGGATGTGCACCACGACTGCGTCTACCCCCAGCCGCCGTTCTCGTACCCCGAGCTGCCAAGGGACGACAAACCGGTAATTTGCTAATTTTGACCCAAAGCGACCCAAAAAATTCTGAATTTCCAGGGAAAATCCTACCCATCTTTGTAAAAACAAGTTGTCGAGGTCTGAGGTGAAATTCCTTTCTTTTTTTGGGGGGGAATTCCTTTTTTTTTTTTTTTTTTTTTTTTAAATCAGCAGCTTTTCCCATCCGGCAGCAAATTCTTGGGGCGGGTTTGGGGCATTTTGGGGCAGGTTTGAGATCGTTTAAGGAAAGCTCAGCATCGTTGTGCTGTTTTAGGGCAGGTTTGGGGTGCTTTAGGGTGGATTTGGGGCATTTGAGGAAAGCCCAGCATGACTTGGGCATTTTGGGGCGGATTTGGGGCATTTTGGGGCAGGTTTGCATCGTTGAAAGGCAGCTGAGCGCGTCGGGGGGGCGTTTTAGGCCGCGTCGGGGATGTTTCAAGGTCTGTTTTGCGCCGGCGAGGGCAGGGCCGGCAAAGCCGCGGCGTCACCCGGCGTCACCCTCTCCCCCTCGCCGTCCCCAGCGCGTCCGCTTCGTCTCGGACCCCTGCACCCTCGACATCGACGGCGTCGTTTTCGGCCTGACCTCCACCGACCTCCTCTTCCACATGGGTGCCGAGGAGATCAGCAGGTGGGTGCTGGCAGATCCGGGAACGCGTCGGAGCGCGGATCTCCCCTCGACGGCCGGATCCAGCCCCAAATTCGCGGGATTTTGGCACAAAGCCTTGTCTCGTGGTGGGGATGGTGTTGCTTCTCGGTTGTCTCCTCCGGTGGTTTGTTTCTCTCTGACGGCGAGGCAGAGTGGCTGGGG